TTTAAGATTAATCACTTATATTTTAAGATTAATCACATATTTTATGGTGAATCACTTGTTGTTTTCCTCATTTCTTTGGATAAAAGTGTCTGCTAAATGTACAAATAAATTGAATAGAGCAAAATAGCATATTAGTGAAACCGGCATCAGTGACTGACAACAAAAACCATGCTTTTTACTGTTCCCACTATTTATTCATACAAACTTGCATTAACCAGAATTGAGACTCTTAAAGGGATAGTTCACCCAAAAATGAAAATTTGGTCATTTACTCACCATCAACTTGCTCCAAACCTGTATAAATTTCTTTCTTCTGCTGAACATAAAATAAGATATTTTGAAGAATGCTGGTAAACCAAGCAGTTGACGGCAACCATTGACTTCCATTGTATTTTTTTTCCCACTAGGGACCAACAACTTTTTAGTTACCAACATTCTTCAAAATATCTTTTTATGATCCACAGAAACTCATACAGGTTTGGAACAACTTCAGTGCGAGTAAAAGATAAATTTTTTGGATGAATTATCCATTTATGTGAGTTTTTAATATCTATTTATCGAGACGTCTGTCTCAACTGAAACGGCACCCAAATGCAGAATTCAAAACACGTCACAGCAAAGGAAATGCGAATACGTGAATACTGTATATGTGGACATTAGCATGTGCTTAAATGAGTCGGGGGTCAAAAAGAGCAGCGAATGAAAGAGAGGCGTGAGGCACTGACTGTTATGCCTCTTCCTGTGTGGTTGAGCACCACGTGGCTGGCAGCGGGGTTAAATACGAGCACTTCTCCTGTTTTAGGCCCATTTCTACTTGGGCTGGAGAGGAAGACGCCAGAAGAACTCTGCTAAGACCACCGGAGAAGAAGAAAGAGGCAAATATGGCACTACTGGGCTTGATCTACAGAGGTATGGATGTAATTGAGCCATAAAATACAAGTTCTGATGGGTAACGTATGGTTATTGTTATACTGGGATGCGCAGGAAACAGGAAGCGATTTATTTTGTACATTTGGACTTTTCTTGTTTCATCATCAATGCACATAATGATGTATGACTTTATGTATTAATGTTCTGCATAAATAAGTTTTTCACTGTAACATTTGTGAGCAAATGATTATGTCGGACTCTCCATTGATGCATGTATAAAATAAAAATAAAAATAAAAATAAAAAAATCAGATCAATTTCTGGAATGCAATAGATTGTCAATTGTATTTCACTATTATTTATTAAATGACAATATGAAGAACAATTTTTAAAAGTAATGTATGCGCACCAGTTCCTGTTCAATAAAAGTTGCTAAAAGTGCTAAAAAAAAATACAATTTTCTATTATTGTAGTTTCTTTTTTTTCCCAACACAAAACAACAGCAAAAACCAAAAAATTTGAGCATATCTGTAATAAAATGCTCATCTTCTTTTGAAAGAAAAAGCTTACTCATGTTGATCAAAATGGCTGCCGTCTGATGTGAGGAAGACGTTTGTGTCGCCACCGCTAGCATTTGCGAATGACGCATTATTCTTTCATAAAATTTGTATTTTAATGTATAAACTTTAACATAACTCAACAAAATGCATGTTGCAGTATATTTGTCATACATTATGCACCTAATAATTTAGTTCAATGAATTATTAATGGCAAAACATTTCTGTTTTGCATGTCGTATGTTCAAATAGCAATCAATCAAACTTGATTTCCTCAAACATTAAGAGTTTCAAGTCTGTATGGAGTTTGGGTGCGGTTCCTGAGCTGTGCAGAAGTGGAAATGTGTGTGTTTATGTGAAGGAGGAGTTTGAGATCTCCAGCGCTTCTCCAGAGGAGACGTGGACACCTGGACATTGGGATGTACAGTGCAGTCATCCATAAAGTAGAAAGCACTACTAAACCCCTCGCCACAGTGTAGTGTTTCCTACTTTATGGATGAGTGTACTGTTGGCTGCTGGGAAACTTCACACCGCTCGACGCAGAACGACAGGAAAGAGAGAAAAGAGGAACTGGCTTGGTTTCGTAAAGCCGTGCACGTCTCATGGTGTCAATACTCATCCACGTGAGACGGCAGCATGCTTGCAGAAACTAAAGCCAGGTTTCTCTGATTGCTGTTGCTGTAAAATCATTGAAAATGTCTTGTATGATGCATGTCAACTTCAATAAAACAGAAACAAATAAAACACATTTGTCTTTGAGTCAGGGTCATTATTGGTAACGAAAACTGAAACTAAAATTAAAAACATTTTTTGTTACCTGAAATAAAATAAAAACTTTTATTTAACATAAAAAAGCATGTTTGTTTCTTAAAATCAAAATAAATGCTAGCTGAAAATAAAAACGTATTTTATTTATTAAACAACTATTTTTGTTACTTGTATACTAATTAATTTTTCTCAAAAATATTTCTCATTTTCATTTAGTTTAACTTGATGTACTAAAACAACTAAAACTACAACTGAAAAATAAATAAATGAAATACTAAAAACCATACAGACATACATAAAAATCCCCCCCCAAAAATTACAAAAACTTTACTAAACATTTCAACTGAAATAAAAATGAAAATGTAAATATAAAAAATTACTCAAAAATGAATAAAAACTATATCTATATTTATAATAATATACTAAAATATATAATAATATGCTATAATCTGAATGATACTCCATCACAACCGAAACTCATTTTATGTGAAAATATACTTTATTTCAGTAAAAAGTCCATATTGCAACAAGTCTTGTCATTCACTTCAAGTAAATCACTTCGACTTTCCCCACAAAGCAAGAAGCCTGTGTGACTATCCAAAAACATGGTTTCGGCATGCACAAAAGAAACCCGAAAAATACTTTACCAAAAGAAGCCATATTTACAGGTGAGTTTCCAAAAAATGCATTACAAAAATGTACAAAAAAACATCCTTCAGGACAGACACAAGAATTGAGCCTCGTTCTGGCTGTATGAAAATATCATACCTCAAATCACAAAAATACACCGAGCTCAATGCCGCGTACGGCCAAACAAAGCTACGTGCTACTACTACGACACATAAATAGAATAAATAAGGCCGAGTATAGATGGAAAGCCATCATGCATGCAGTCATTACAAACACAGCTGTAGTAAACTTGAAGTTAAGACTAAACGAGGTCTTATAAGGCTAGATTTTATTATGGCCTAGGACACGCCTACTTGCAGTAGCGACAGTTACGATGGTAAGATCTGCGGCCTGTGCGTTCCTCAGCTTCACCGTGGCAGGAATCACAGCATGCGTCTGGATTATATAGTGCAGCGAGGGGAAAATCCCCTGACTAGTTGATATTAAGGGGCTGTACAGTGCATCACAAGGATGCTTGTCTGATGACACACGCAATCTACAATTATGCTAAAGCACAACTTTCTTTGTATATTCTGTTCTGCCAGTTCGAGAAACGGTCGAAACTGTCACCTACTTCCTGTCTGTGAGGACATTTGGGCTCTAGCTCCGCCCCTCCAAACACCTGGCGTTCTGTGATTGGTCGCTGAGGTGACGTGCAGAGCATCTCAAGGTTTGGCAAAATTGTGTGGTTTGGACAGTCTCGCCTGAGAACAGCAAGAGCTGACTTAAGATGCGAAACTGATGAGCGGTTTGACCTGAGAAATGATTTCACGTTAGCCAGAACCAGTGGATGGCGCTAAAAAAACAAACGCATTATACTGCAATGTAAAGGTGAAGGGTGTGTGGTGTTACGCTCACATGCTGTGTCTGTATTACGACGCTCCTAAAACGGAGGAAAAGAAATTAGGAACTAAGCACGAAGAGTTAAGACAGAGCTCATGCAGAAAGAAGCCAATGTTTCTCTGTTTCGTGAATTATTAATGTAGCTATTGTAAAGTGAGTTCCATGTCGATGAGTTTGAGAAAAGGCGAAGCAGAACTAAATACAAAGTTCATTACGAACAATAAAAGCTTCAGTGCATCATCAGATGCACAATATTCCATTTACAGAGAACGATCAACATTTTCCGGTTCGATATGCTGTTTTAGCATGCAAACAACATAAATCATAAAGTTGAAAATGATAAAAAAATATGTATTGTTGCTGGGTTTTTTGAGCAAATGCAAGCATAATGTTCAATTGGGGGGGGGGAACGCATAAGAATGTAATTGATTGCCTAAATGAGCACAGAGGTATGGAAGCCCCTTTCCGCAATACAAAAATAAAAAAATAATAATTACGACTTGTCTCACAATTCTGATCTTTTTTCTTAGAAATGCATGATATAAATTTGTAATTCAGACTTTATATCTCACAATTCTGAGAAATATAGTCAGAATTGTGTGATGTAAAGTCGCAATTGTGAGTTTTGCAAATGAATAGCGATATATAAACTTTAAGAAAAGTATTTTTCCCTCTCAGAACTAAGTTTATAGCTCACAATTTTGAGAAAAGAAGTCAGAATTGGGAGAGAAAAAGTCAGAACTGTGAGATAAACATGCAATTACAAGGAAAAAGTCAGAATTGCTAAAAAAAAAGTCACATTTGTGAGTTTATATGTCACTTTATTTCTCGCAATTTTTAATTTACATACTGCAATTCTGACTTGATACCTAAAAATTGTGAGTTTATATCTTGCAACTCAGAGGAAAAAAAGTCATAATCGTGAGATAAAAAGTCACAATTACCTTTTTTTATTCAGTGGCAGAAACGGCCTTCCACACAGTAGTGTGTAGAATATAATAAAACCGTGTTTTCAGTAGAATACAACAACATTACTAATAAAATAATCTGAAAGTGCAGAAAATATTGTGATATAGATAATAAAAAGCTTTCGGCCAGTCGGTGATCCTTCAGATTTTCTCCAGTAAAAACGAACGAATTAATATGTAAAGATTTGAGTTCAGCTCAGTCTGTACTGGTTTAACTAACCGGTTTGTATTATTCTAGCTTTAACTGGATAACACCAGCAACACAAAACAGGTGAAGGGACACAGTTCTGCAGTCTTGGACCCTACTTGTAGTGCAAAATATTTCAGTAGCGACAAAAAATGATTTTGTCACACTCCTTCGCTTTATTTTCCAGAATTCCTGGAATAAATATCATGTCAACATATCTTTTCTAAGTGTGCTCTGCCTTTCAGTGGATGATGTTTGTGACACGAGCAGACGGTTCATTCATGTCTAGATGCTGTTATATTGAAGTTAAGTGTTTATTTAGAATATTTTGCTATCTTTTTACTCTTCAAATGAGTATTTTATAGCTTTTTAAACAGGCATGAGCTCTAGTCACAGCTTTAATGGGTTCAAACCCATTTTCCTATTTGCACAAGTATTGCGATTATTTGCTTTTTTGAAAAGAAGAAACAGTCCGACAGATGAAAGCGCTGATAAGTCTGCATCATTATGGCAAAAATCAGAGAATGAGAAAGATTCTCCTATCGGACGGACACACTGAAACTGACACGACACACGAGAAAAAGTGCAATCTGCAGATCTTTAGGCTCACAGCTATTCCTTCTTGCTGGAGCCCAGCTTTCTGAAAAGCTTCCTGCCCTTGGAGAAGAAACCTTTCTTCTTCTTCTCAATCAGGGAGGCGTCGGGGAACGAAGGGGTCGCGGGGGGAGACGAGCTCAGGGTCGGTTTCTGATCCGAGTCCGGCTCGGGGTTTGGTCCTGGCTGAGAGGAGCTCACGGGATCAAGATGCTTAGATGATTCTGTCTGGCTCACCTGGGAGAAAAACAGACGAAAGATGAAGGTAGGCAGGTAATTGAGATTTTAATGCTATGTCTGTCATTTTTTTACAAAATAAAATAAAATGATAAAATAAAATAATTAAAAGAACACAAGCTGTTTAAATGTACATATGATAAAAAATTCTAAAACTGTCTCTGGTAAGTTCTTATTTTAAAAAGTTCAGTCCTTAAGAGAGCTATGAGAGAGAGTTAACTTTCAGCCAACTGCGTAACAGTTGTATAAAAGAAAAGAAAAGAAAAAGAAAAAGACTAAAATTATGTAAGGAGATTTAATACTGTATGTAAGAAATGGCATTGTGGGAATAGAAAGTAGCAGAAGAAAAAATACAGCAGCAGTCAAAAGTCTGAGCATCTGACTTTATGATCTTAAAATGCTTCATCTTAAATTACAAAACAAACTCATGAGGCATGGCTTTCACAATGAGTTTAAAGGGATAGTTCACCTAAAAATTAAAATCCTGTTAAAGCACTAAAAGGACTAACTGGAAATAAATACAAATTCAAACAAAAGCTACAACTGAAATAATAAATGAAACCTAAAAAATAATAAAACTAGTAATAATAATGATAAAAAATAAAAATGACAGAAGCATGTAAAATTATTAGAACTAAAACTAGAAAATAAAATGAAACCTAAAAATATGAAAATAAAAGGTCATTCAAAATATTAATAAAAACTATAATAGTATATAAATAATACAAAAATAACACTGGTCCCTAACCCTGACAAAAACAAAACAAAACAAATTTTTGGAGGGTGAGCTATCACCTTAAATGTAAAATTATTATGTGAAAATTAGAGATTTGGGAATAATTTGCTGGGTTTTATCAATGCAAACATTCTGGATTCAAAATGATTGAATCTCTAAAACTTTACAGTACTTCTTTGTTATTCTGAGCTTGACAACTTAAACTGAACACTAAAACCTCACAGGAGAAAGCCAGTCATACAAGTTTTGAGAAAAGGAGGGTGAGTAAATGACGACATGTAATTTTTTGGGTACGCTAACCCTTTAAAGCATGTGTATTGATTCTATAATTCATCTTCAGACTCTCAGTGTTATGTTCAGAGTCATTATATCTAGAGATGCTAGAGAGGGTTTGCTGCAGGTCGGGTCAGGTCTATGAAACACTTACGGTCACTGTTTAAAGTGAACACCTCTCCTGTGCTTCTGAAAACCATGCAAAAATAAAAACAAAGACACATAAGACGACATGCAGAACATAAGACAGCTGGAGAAACTAATGCTGTTAATCTGTGATGGACAGAACAGAATGGAAAATACATGCAATTATCAACATTAATGCATGCAATAAACACACACACACGTACCTGTGAATCCCTGTGGCTATCCGTCACCGACGCATCTTCTTCTGTCTCTGGAAAAGCTTGCAGGAAGTTGGACGGTACGAGGCCTTTGTGTCCATTGAGATCCCCCTGAAAACAACACAGACCCATCATGCACTGCTGCTTTGCGCAGTCATTTAGTGTTCATGGCCGTACACAGGGTTTAGAAATACAGAGATACAAAAACTGAGAGGTTCTGGGATATATTTGTATTCCCCTGATCTACATATGTGCATTTGCCCTCCATTTAATAACAATAGCTTAGATAACAATCTTAATCTTAGATAACAATAGCTTTAAAACTCGTCTTTTTTCAGTCTTTTTCAAAAGTAAACAAGAAAAATGTAATGAAAAATATAATATAATAATAATGGGTTTGGAATGACAAAATTTGAATAGGTAAGTAATACATTTTTCATTTTTAGGTGAACTATCACTTTAAATTTTGAGCACATCACTATAAAAAGGACGCAGACACATGGGGGTTTCTTGTCAAATTAAAGGAATAATGAAGGAGACGAATAAAGAAAAAACGTTAAAGAACTAGAATTTTTAGTAAACTAAAGCAACTAGTGCTGAGAGGGAGTTAGCTTTCTACCTTGCACATAATAGATGAAAAGAGATGAAAAACTTAAAATGAAAACTAGAAATGTTGACTTGGTAACTCGAACAAAAGATACAACTAAAATATTAAATGAAACCTAAACAGTAATAAAAATGGTAATAATAATCCTTGGGTAATAGTATGGTAATAGTAACTAAAGTTACTTTTAAAAGTAATGCATAACAATATTACGTTATTGCATTTTTATTTTTTATGGAAAGTAATGCATGTTACTTTCGTGCTACTTTTTGTCACCTAGGCTGGACTTGCTTATTTGTTTTTTAATAACGGAAAAAAAAAAAGTTTGTCAATATTTTTGGCAACTGTAAAGACCCTTTTACACCAAAAGTGAAATGATTAAGCCTCAGGCTGAAGGGAGTGCCCCTGCACCTACACCTCACCTACACCTCACTCCCAATAAATGGGAAAACATAGTAACTTGCATTACTTATTTGAAAAAGTAGATTTTCAGACCATATTTAACATAAATGGTCCATACAGCACTATTTCAGTTTTATATTTGTAAATACATGTAAATATTTTCAAAATATATGCTGTATGTGTGTGTCTTTATATATACATAATAAATATACACAGCACACACACATACAGTATATTATGTAAACAAAAACTTTTATTTTGGATGCGATTAATCGCGATTAATCGTTTGACAGCACTAGTACATATAAAGTCATCTGTAAATATTTTAATTTTTTCAGGGTTTTTTACATTGATTTTCTCTAAGTGACTTTTGCATGCACACAAAAAACTTTTTTGTGCCCTCGAGAAACTATTCACATGCGCATGGGAATTTTTCGCATGCTTGCGCATTACAATTTCTAGTTTTATTTAACCTATTTTCTTTGTGCATCACTGCCATCTTACTATGAATAAAGTGAGAGCATGGATGCACATGAATTAATAGAGATCTACTTGCTCAAAATTTGGCTTTCCTTATGGTAGTACCTCTAATATCAAGGCCTAATGTCCAATTTAGCACATCCTCTGATGTCACAATAGGTGGCTCAGTGTGCATTGTCCTATATGCTAAGTTTAATGGTTTCTCGTGCACACATAAACATCTGTATATTTTTTATTTTTGCAAAGGTCCTCAAGGCTATGTCATACGGTGCTAAAAATATCATGAGAAGAAACCCAAAACATTTTGCATAATTAAAAAGTGCACCTTGAATTCATTCAGTCGTGTTTGACAATCACTAAAGAATCACTAAACAGCTGCCATGAAAACACTTCTTGTATGCTAAACTTATTTTCATTAAATTCTTAATTTTCTATTATAAAAAATTAAATGGGGGCAAAAGTCTGGAAATGCAAATATTTTTCCATACTCTTCCAGACCTGGAAATTACTTAAATCAAATTTCATACTTTTCCAAACCGCGTAGGAACCCTGTAATGTGTTATTTTTTAGTTACTTCAGAAAATGTAATCTGATTACGTTACTTGTAATGCATTACCCCCAACACTGGCTCTGACAGATCAGCTCAGATTTCTGCAGCACCGAAATACAGTTATTATTAAGCAATTACTTCACAACTTTTATTATTGACCTTGAAAATAACTTCAGTGGTAGCACGGCCACAAATGTGTCATTGCACAAAACTCCTATTTATTATGAATATACTAACAGACAGACAGGCACGAAAGAAACTCACATAGTAGAAGCCGTCATCATCCATGTCACCGAACACATAGATGACGTCGCCCGCGCTGAAGGTCAGTTCAGCCTGGACAAACAGTACATTAAACTCTCATGCTTTAGACTGTTTACTAGTATAAGGAGCTTTTTTGTCATAGTAATAATGTCACCTCTATGTCTGCATTGGGAGAACTCTCTCTCGGGTCGTAGTCAAAGATGGCCACCATCCTGCGAGGTCTGGAGCTTCCCATCGGGCCGGCGGAGCGACTGAGGTCTGCAAGTCAAACACAAAAGATGTAAAGATGCAGAGAACAAAAATCGGAAATGAAGCATTGCTCGGGGTGAAAATGACACAGTAAGTGACAGAAATTCCAGAAAATACATATGAAATCGAACATTTGATATATTTGTGAAGTCTCTATTATGGGTTTATCAGGTGATGATTTGGTGCCTCTGCAGACACTGCAGAGCTTGAATATGAAAACGACCTTAAAACATGAAATGACAATTATATCTAAATCTACTGTGATGGTTGACAGTAAAAACGGCTTAATCTAACACAGTGAACCGACAACTACTTCAGACGTATTCTAGCATTTTATGCATTATTTACAACCATGTTAATATTTGCAGATTTTGTGAACTTGAGTATTTCAATTAATTGATTTAATTGAAATATTTGTTTGCTGTGAAATTATATGGTTAGGAAAAAAAAAACAATCTGCAAAAAATGCCCATTCTTAAAAAAAGTTAATTTTTGATAATGTACATATACACGTATCAGTCAGAAGCTTGGAAAAATTACTGTGTAAAAAATGATGTAATATTATTAAAATTAAAAATAAACATTTTCTGTTTGAATATATTATAAAATGTAATTTATTGCTGTGATCAAAACTGAATTTTCAACATCATTACTCCAGTCTTCAGTGTCATAAGATTCTAATGGCTTCTGAAAATTCAGCTTGGCATCACAGTGATTAATTACACAAAATATATTCAAATAGAAAACAGCTGCTGTTTTAAATTGAAATAATATTTCACATTATTACTGTTTTTACTGTAAGTCAGATACATACGCTATGCACGTTTATGAACACTAAACTTCAAGCTATCAGGTGATGATTTGGTGCCTCTGCAGACACTGCAGAGCTTGAATATGAAAACGACCTTAAAACATGAAATGACAATTATATCTAAATCTACTGTGATGGTTGACAGTAAAAACGGCTTAATCTAACACAGTGAACCGACAACTACTTCAGACGTATTCTAGCATTTTATGCATTATTTACAACCATGTTAATATTTGCAGATTTTGTGAACTTGAGTATTTCAATTAATTGATTTAATTGAAATATTTGTTTGCTGTGAAATTATATGGTTAGGAAAAAAAAAACAATCTGCAAAAAATGCCCATTCTTAAAAAAAGTTAATTTTTGATAATGTACATATACACGTATCAGTCAGAAGCTTGGAAAAATTACTGTGTAAAAAATGATGTAATATTATTAAAATTAAAAATAAACATTTTCTGTTTGAATATATTATAAAATGTAATTTATTGCTGTGATCAAAACTGAATTTTCAACATCATTACTCCAGTCTTCAGTGTCATAAGATTCTAATGGCTTCTGAAAATTCAGCTTGGCATCACAGTGATTCATTACACAAAATATATTCAAATAGAAAACAAATTAATTGATTTAATTGAAATATTTGTTTGCTGTGAAATTATATGGTTAGGAAAAAAAAAACAATCTGCAAAAAATGCCCATTCTTAAAAAAAGTTAATTTTTGATAATGTACATATACACGTATCAGTCAGAAGCTTGGAAAAATTACTGTGTAAAAAATGATGTAATATTGTGGAATATTATTAAAATTAAAAATAAACATTTTCTGTTTGAATATATTATAAAATGTAATTTATTGCTGTGATCAAAACTGAATTTTCAACATCATTACTCCAGTCTTCAGTGTCATAAGATTCTAATGGCTTCTGAAAATTCAGCTTGGCATCACAGTGATTAATTACACAAAATATATTCAAATAGAAAACAGCTGTTTTAAATTGAAATAATATTTCACATTATTACTGTTTTTACTGTAAGTCAGATACATACGCTATGCACGTTTATGAACACTAAACTTCAAGCTAAGTAAGCTTAATTTATGCATTATTGTATAATGTTAGACCACAATTCATAACAGTTATCAGTTTCAGGTCAACGAGTGTCATGGCAGAGGAATAGTTTGCAAACAATTTAGCTGAGGAAGTTCATTAAACAGTTAATTAAATGGTTGATGTGTGTACAGTAGCAGCAGTAGTGTCAGAGAATGAAACTCAATCTATCAGGCTCAGTCTGTCTCTATCAAGAGTGCATGGAAATTATGTACAACTCATTCTGCATTTGTGTTAAAAAAAACTTCATGCATGATAAACACTGAACAGAAGAAAAAGGCACTCTTCAAGAGAAACACTTAAAGTACATGCAAAGTGAAGCAAATCACAGAAGACATGAGCTCAGCTGTCCAATGAGAGACTGAAAGATCATTAGTGGTTAGTTCAGAGATGAGGGCGTGTGGATGCAGATCTCCATGGTAACAGCATGCAGCGTTGCATCAGTACATCAGCATGCAGTTAAACTGTCAGTCACATGCGGCTGGAAACATGAGAGAGAACCGCAGGACAAGACAGGAGGAGCTCAAACCTTGACTGGAGGAGTCCATAGCAGACGTGTCATCCCACACCGCAGCCGACTCCACTGGAAAAGGACAGAAGTGGGCGGGGAGGGAAGGGTTAGACACAATTTGATTGGCTGCCTGACCTTGATTGACACTCGGGCTCATGGGGAAGAAAACAAATCAAACTAAACAAAACCAAACAAAATGAGCCACTGCGCTTTGAGGATATGAGTGAAGTGGTTATGATGAGCCACACACACACACACACACACACACACACAGTCTGTTTCACTATCCTTGTGGGGACTCTCCATAGGCGTAATGGTTTTTCTACTGTACAGACCGTATATTCTATTGCCCTACACCAACCCTACCCCTAAACCTACCCCTCACAGGAAACTTTCTGCATTTTTAGATTTTCAAAAAACTTCATTCTGTATGATTTATAAGCTTTTGTACCCGTGGGGACCACAATTTAGGTCCACACCGTGACACGAGTCCCCATGAGTCTGTATCACACACACACACTTCAGGCAGTCAGCTTCAGAGAGGTGGTGAGTTGACCAAAGGGGGCTGTGAGCCCAAACATTAGAAAACACTTATTTAAAGAAATCATTCCAGGTTCAATATAAATTTAAGTTTGACAGCATTTGTGACAGTCACTTAATACAAAAATATGTTAATATATCATTATTTATTTATATATTATTATTATTAAATTTTTTCTGCTTTTTTTTTCTAAAAAGAAAAAACTGCATTTGTGGCATAAAGTCAATTATCACAAGTTATTTTATATTATATATAATTATGGTTATTATTTTAATATATTATTATTCATTATTATTCATTTATTTTGCAATAATAGCATTTGTGAAATAGTCAATTACCACTTACATTATTATTTTAATATATTATTTATTTAGATTTTTTTTACATATTATATATAATTATTTTAATATATTATTATTATTATAGTTTGAAAAAATATAATTTGTGAAAGTCAATTACTACTTACCACTTATGTTGTTGTTGTTGTTATTTATTTATTTAGCATTTTTCATCTTATTTATCTAAAAAAAAAAGAATTTGTGCAATAATGTAAATTCCCCCAAAAATACTTGTAATTATTTTTAATTATTAATATTATATCATCATTTAAATTTTTTCAAAAAAGAAAAACAGCACTTGTAATGCATAATGTAAATTAATACTATATAATCTATTACTATTATCATTTGTTTTATTTTTATCAGGTTCTTTTTGTCTATAAAAAGAAAAACAGCAGTTAGAGTTAATGCACTTACAATGTATTGCAATAAACATACATGTTCACCAGAGACTAAGTGTGATTGATTTACTTACTGACTTCAGTTGCATTTCCCAAAAGCATTGCAAGCCAATGGTTTCTACAATCTACCTAAGTTTATGATGCTTTTGGAAAATGCAGCCGTGATCTGTAAACATGCAGCTTGATTTCACATGCCATTGCATTTAAAATTTTTCAAAAGTGTTTTGCTTTTTAGTGGCCATTCGTTTAAACTTGAGGATGATATTATTGATTAATACTGCTTTTCTCCATCCAAACAGCCTTTCCTAGATGAGCAGAAAAGATGTTATGTTTTTATGCATCGTTTTTATTACAATAGCATGCACTGAATCATGGACCAGGAACATTTATTTGGTAAAAAACTTAAAATTAAAAGGTTAATTTTAATTTCATGCTGACTGCGGTTCAAAACTAAACCAATGAGACTAAGAACATCTAATGTTCGTGTCCCCCTTTGATCAGAGTTCCTGATGCAGAAGCAGAAAGCTGATGGGAGTGAATTCAGCAAACCAAACGCAGGTGAAATCTCGGAGAGCAGGAGGAGACAGCGAGCGCTGACACACACCTTTCTTGGAGCGTCTAGGTTTCGGCGGTGCAGCGGGACGGCGTGGAAGCTGTGCATGTAAGCGGGCGTCTTTATGAAATTTAAACAGGATACGAGGGGGAAAAAAAGACAAGTAGCAGACAAGAATGAATGAGAAGCCAAAAGAAAAGCAAAACCTCACAAAACAAGCACCAAGCTGAAAACAAGAATAAGAATAAGCATTAGCATCAGCAATGAGGCACCACAGTGAGAAAGAAAGAGCTGAACCACCACTGCAGCAAAGCATTCTGGGAAACAAGATCCACCGTCGCTCTTTGAACTGCTTACAGTGACCACAAAAACACACATTTCAACAACAGCACTTTGGCATTTATGTAAAACCAGCAAAGCTTTGTGATCTGAAATGAAACTGCAGACTGTGAAACATAAACCAATGAAAGCTTGTTTCTGCCACGGGTTAAAAAAATAAAAAAGTAATTGTGACTTTTTATCTCACAATTTAGAGTTTTCTCTCATAATGCTGGAAAAAAAGCAGAATCATGAGATATAAACTCGCAAAAACTAGAAAAAAGTCAGAAATTTTGAGATAAAACTGAATTGTGAGATATAAACAGTTATGATATAAATTTGCAATTTGTGAGAAAATCTCAGAATTTTGAGATCTAAACTCAGAATTGTGATAAACAGAATTGTGAGACAAACTCAAAACAGCAAGAAAAAAGTCAGAATTTTGAGATAGAAACGTAGAATTGTGAGATAGAAACAGAATTGCGAGATATAAATTCACAATTTGCAAAAAAACTCAGAATTTGAGAAAAATTGAGAGATATAAACAGAACTGCAAGATATAAATGAGCAATTTGCTAGAAAACATCAGATTTTTGAGATAAAAAGTCAGAATTGTGAATTATAAATTTGTGTGATATAATTGTGAGACATTAATTGTGAATTGTGAGATATAAACAAAATTGCGAGTTATAAACAGAGTTAAGAGAAAAGTTTTAATTTTTTTAAATTCTGTGGCGGAAACAGGTTTCCACATAAACCAGATTAGATCAAGAACAGATTCACAAAATGCAGTGCGGAATTAAAGTGTACTGACTTTGCTATTCTCACGTCACCCATGATCATTTTTAAGAGCACAAAATGTGTAATAATGAAAAGTGATTAGTATTTGGCTGGTCATTTGATATCGATTTTTCAGGTAAAATAAAACTTAAGTAGGCTTATGCTTTTTTTTTTACCTTACTTTGTGCTACTCATTTCTTCATATGCAACACTTCAGGAAAGACACTACCGGTGAATAGGATTAAATGTTTAACTAATAAATATCACTAAACTTCCATAGTTAATTAACCAGAGTGCATTAAGACAATAGTTTTGTGTTAAAGGTTTTTTGAAATGTTATGTTTAAATATGCAAATTGCACATCTAATTAAATATGCAGAAATGTGTATACATTTCCAGAACAGAAATCTGAATTCAAAATTCTTGCCTCATTTTGTTGATTTTTGATATCTCTTTTTATCACTCCATAAATCATAAAATACTGTCAAAAGCCAGAAATACATACATTGTCACCATGTTTTTAGAAATAAGGTGTTATGTCATATAAATCAGGTGAATAATATATAAACAAATCCCCTGTAAATACCTTAGATAGATAAGAATAAAACTGTAAAGTTTGGTGTATGTATGTGCTGCTGAAGTGGAGGAAAAAAAATAAAAACACTTAAATGTGTATTTTGGATTTTTCCTTTCCACAAGTCTGAAAGAAGTCATGTTATGGAATCAAAATCTCAAAAAGCAATGGTTTTACCTTCAGTGTCTTTCCCTAAAAAATAAGAGAGAAATACTACTACATGTATCTTAAAGGATTACAAAAAAAGCACCACATATCACCACCACTGCCATTTCTTTGAGAACCTGAATTCAAGGGAAACCCAAGTTCCTCAAAGTTGTTCGCTTGAAGCCTATTTTAAAGCTCGTGTCTACAAGCGTGTTTCCAGCTATGCTAAAATGTCAGCTGCGGTTGGCTTTTTCTTTGAGCGATTACAGGGAGTTCAGAGATTTATTTTTATTTTAGAAACATGCTCAAAATATGACCTTAAATAAATGTCAGTCAGACTACATCTCTGCTCCAAAACCTAGTCAGATGTCTCTCTAGACAGCACTTTAAGATCCTGATGTGAAGCCAAGCAGTGACATTATGCTAATGATTACAGCTGATCTCAATAGAGTTTAATGCTAGCATATGCTCAGGAATCAAATAAGAACTAAAAGGACATTGCACACACAAATATTTTGTGAAACATGATGTATGTTGGTGTGAAAACTGACACTGAGGTGTAGATGTGCGAGTCTGACGCATGCGCTGATAAACGCACCTATCTTATCCATTGACGCCTCTGTGGAGAGGAAGCCCTGCATCAGGAGCTGGTCTCTGGTCTCCTCATCATCAACCTGGATCTCTGAAACCATATTACACGGCACATAGCCACGACGGCCACCCGCCTCACCCCGGTAGAAACCATCTGCATCTTTGTCCCCATAAACCTGCAGAGGAGAAACACTGCAATCAACTTTCTACAGGAACTTTATTAAGTTCTGAAATCATTATGAACAGCAAAGTGATATTTTTTGGTATTATTTGCTAACTATAATGGTTTTGAGGACCGGACTGGAGATGCACATTTTGTAGGCTAATGTGGGTGAGAATTTACAGTTTTTAAAGCATTTCTTTCTTTGTAGTTTAAACCCTATAAAACCTACTTCATCAAATTAATTTCTAAGACATTTAAATGATCAAAACTTTGTTGAAAACCCGTTGCACACAACCTACTCCATGCGTTCTGTCTTCTGATTGATAGTTTAGACTATAAAAGGCCTTTTAGTTAAATGGTACAACCATCCACCTTCAACTGGTGCTTCACTTGTCTGTTTGCTTTACTTATTTTCAGAAAGTAAGCATAACTCTATACCTTTTATATTGTAAGTAATATTTCAAGATGAAGACCTACTGGACTGCTGCAACTTATTATTTTAACATTTTTCCCACATTCAAATGTATCAAATCTGATCCTCAGGCTTTTGAAGAACGTTTATTTCTTCATCTCTCAATCATCATTGTATTGCGCTGCATTATATGTTTAGATCATTTAAATCTCATCTTACTAAAACATATTATTGGAGACACAGAGTGATGACTGATATTTATATAATTTGATGTAAGTATCTACTATACTGTTAAAAAGATCTAATTGATTTACAATACATGCATCAGAATATCATACTTTTTGGCCATACTAATAAATATTAGCATCTGCACCAAATTGCATATTTCTGCTTAGTTTGGGCCTCTGAATAAAACTGAGCTGTTTTTCCTCAGACTATCAGACTATATGAGCCATAAAAGCTGAATGTATCAAACAAGACACAAAACATAAAACATACAGCATATGCAAACTTAATATAAACTGTTCCATGTCTATTATTGACTATTATTTCACATGTCGCGATTTATAGGGTTGAAAATCCCAACCTTAAATTCAGTCATACCTTGATAATCTGGCCTTCTTTAAAGGGAAGCTCTTCTTCAGCAGCATCAGGATTGGGTGACATGACTGCAGGATCATATGGGAAGAGGGCAACAAAGACTCTCACCTCATTTTCTCCAGATGCTCTGGGCTCTGCAACACCAAAGAGCAAACACAAACTTGTCAAGAAATTATTTCATAGTATATATCATGAGAATAACACATTGGTGGGTGATATGGACATTTTTGAAAAAGCTGTTGAAAAAGTTTTGTTACATTTAATGCGACTTTCCATGATGAATGTGGAATATTACAATCAGTAAACTAATGTAAACTGTTCCATGTCTATTATTGACTATTATTTCACATGTCGCGATTTATAGGGTTGAAAATCCCAACCTTAAATTCAGTCATACCTTGATAATCTGGCCTTCTTTAAAGGGAAGCTCTTCTTCAGCAGCATCAGGATTGGGTGACATGACTGCAGGATCATATGGGAAGAGGGCAACAAAGACTCTCACCTCATTTTTTCCAGATGCTCTGGGCTCTGCAACACCAAAGAGCAAACACAAACTTGTCAAGAAATTATTTCATAGGATATATCATGAGACTAACACATTGGTGGGTGATATGGACATTTTTGAAAAAGCTGTTGAAAAAGTTTTGTTACATTTAATGCGACTTTCCATGATGAATGTGGAATATTACAATCAGTAAACTAATGTTTGTGGTCTCCCCGGCCTGAAAACCATAATGGTGCAGCCCAGGCGTGTCCTTAAGTGAGGTAATCATACTAAAACCTCCTGATCCTAAGCCGCCATGAGCCGCTACAGAAACGTGCGCTCATGAGTCATCTGTACAGAGCGAGAATGACAGGAAGAGAGAAAGACACACAAATGTCTATTTAGATAACAAAAAAAACTTTTGTGAATTTCAATAATGTTGTCATGGAAGAGATTAAAACTAAATAATATAAACAACCCTAAACAAAGATCCATATTATATTTAATAAAACCAACCCAGTTCTGGTTCTCAATGTTGATTGGTCAAGCTAGTATTTCCCATAATGTGTTAAAAAATCACAATTTAGCACCATGTCTCAACTAAGAAACTGTGCTGAACAATCGATTACTATATGAACTGATATAAAAAGCATCACTGTAAGTCAGACTCAGAAATGGATAAAAGTGTCTACTAAATAAGTCAATGCAACTGCACAGATGAAGTTACATGTGTAAATAAATGGAAAGCAAACACAAATGCTCCAAAACACCACCCATAATTTTCCTGTGCTATTTATTGGACATGCATGCAAGATGACACTGCTGTTCTGTACATTGCAGTCTGAAAGCAACACTCAAGCATCTGTCAGGGTCATCAGGTCAAAGGTCAGCACTCAGATGGGTTGGATGAGGACTATAGTGTAAAACAGAGATGTATAATCAGTGGTGCTAATAGGTGTCTGTCATGTTTGTGTTAAGCTCCAGCAGTGAGATGTGCTCATCTCATTAGTGAGGATCAAGACCATCTGTAGCAACAATCAATGGCAGAGCAAAGAAAAGAGGACATTTCACAACCTCTGTGGGTCATATTTGAGTGCAAATATAAAGAAAAAGGGGCTACTTTTGGGAAAACCATCTTGCCCTCAAAGACAAAAACAAAAAATATACTAAATATTTTTTTAATTGTAAAAGTGATAGGCTACAACGTGTGGGTATTCTGGGATGTAGGGGAAGTCGTGGCCTAATGGTTAGAGAGTCGTACTCGTAGCCCAAAGGTTGCGGGTTCGAGTCTCGTACCGGCAGGGATTGTAGGTGGGGGGAGTGAATGTACAGCGCTCTCTCCCACCTTCAATACCACGACTGAGGTGCCCTTGAGCAAGGCACCGAACCCCCAACTGCTCCCCGGGCGCCGCAGCATAAATGGCTGCCCACTGCTCCGGGTGTGTGTTCACGGTGTGTGTGTGTTCACTGCTGTGTGTGTGCACTTTGGATGGGTTAAATGCAGAACACTAATTCCAAGTATGGGTCACCATACCTGGCCACATGTCACTTCAGTTCACTTCCAATGTTGTCCACTTCCAAATTTCTGTGGTTACTTTATAATACTTTATATTACTTGACTGTCCATAAATGCAAATCTATGGGCTTTCAGTAAAATCAATTTTATGTCTGATCACTTAGAAAAGTAACAGCACACCTCAACAAGCCAGTTTTGAATATATTACATGCCAAACTTCAATACATTGTGTTACAGGTTTGATCGTATAACTAACTCTAAGAATAAGCAGTGTAACCCTGATTAGTTTTATTTAAGCACGACAGAAGTTTGAGTTTAGACTAGGCTAGATACACGTGCTGGTTTGGTTGAAACTAAGTTTGGAGAAGAACAGTTAAGGGCAGTTTAAAGTTGGGTGGGTGGGCAGGACTCTGAAATGGATAAATGAGAGAGAGAAAAGGATGTGATCTAAATAAGAGCTGAACACAGTTCACGTTGAGAGAGAGAGAAGGAAGTGAGACAGTCTCACCTCTATGTAATCTAATTTCAGAGCGTGGCGATTTTGGAGTGACATCGCACCACATTGCACCTGGATCTGCCAACGATGCTTCTCTTCCTCCTGCCTCCTGGTTTGAGAGAAACAAACAGTTAGATAATGTCACGTGGGATACAGCCACGAACATCACGGTAACACTTCAGATTAGTGAACATGTATTCACTATTAACTAAGAGTTTTTCCTCAATAAACTTCTGACTTGCTGCTTACTGATAGTAAGCAAGGTAGTTGTTTGTAGTAGGTATGTTTAGGATTAAGGGATCTAGAATATTGTCATGTAAAATAAGGCATTAATATGTCCTTTATAAATAGTAATAAACAGCTAATATGTGAGTAAAATGCAGGCTAATAAGCAGCAAGTTAATAGTGAATAGTGTTCCCTAATCTAACATGTTAATAACATCAGAGTGGAACAACTGTAACATCACACAATATGCATGTAATACCACTAATGTCCACAGCCACAGACTAGAACAATCGCTTAGGAGCCACTTGCTTCTAATAAAACATTTTGTAATTTTGACAAATTACAGAATCAGAACAGTGCATATTAAAGGAATTGCCAAGCTAGCATTTGGAACATTTGCTGTACACAATGTTCCTTTGTGCAGCTTACTTTGCTTGGTTTGCTACCCGAGAACCAAAATGCCTGAAACACTGTCAACTATATTCAAGAGCTTCTAGCTATGTACAATGAACTGCAATTGCACTGGCTAAACATTAATATCTGTGTTTGTGCACCTTCCTAGGGTATATTAAGAAGCCACATATCAAAACGATATGAAGTTCTGGCATCTTAGGCTAATTGCAAATAGATTTGAAATCACTGTTGCAAGCTCTTTTGTATTGAATTAGCAATTAGCCTGGAGCCCTGAAACACACACACACAAGTCAAAAAAGCCATTGCTCAAGTGACATTTGATTCCAGATCAACAGAAGCAGCACTTGGGGTTGTTCTTCGTTGCAACAGTGCAATTATGGGAACAGAGGAGATCCCTGTGCAAGCACAACATACAGTTTCATACAGCACTTCGGTGTTGTCCAATCTCTACTTTAACTGCTCAAGCAGTCCCTGGACAACCTTGACAATATGTGGGTCAATAAGCATCCCATTTGTGTCAAGGAAAGGAGATGCACCAGAGCAAGAAAACCTATTGAGCGATAATGCACAGCCACGGTCTTAGAACAGCAATGTTCTAACTGAACACTGGGAAGAATAAGACGTAGGACAAATGCATAGAGCAGTGCTGCCAGCTGCACAACTACAAATACGAAGATGCCTTGACTAGAGACTGAGAGAAAGGGTGTAGGGTACATAAGGAGCGAGATGTACAGGTTTAAACCTTTTGCATCCACAGTAAAATTAGAGTTGGAGAGTCATTGACCACTTGGTGGAATCCCATATAGAGAACCACAGTTTTGTTTTTGTCTTTCAGTTCCATTAACAGTTTTGGAACATTTGCATTCTTCCTGGACAACTTAACATGAAATATACATACAGGAATGCCATAATATTGTCTATTCCATAAGGACTGTAAAAGAAAATGTTAAGTAGAACTAGAACCTGAATTGTTCAATTCCTTAAGATTGTCATCATTAACTCCAACAATACCCATTAAGCCAGGGGTTCTCAACTCTGGCCCTCGAGGTCCTCTTTCCTGTAGATTTTAGCTCCAACCTTAATCAAACACACTTGAACCACTTAATAAAGGTCTTCAGGATTACAGGCAAGTGAGTTTGATCAGTGTTGGAGCTAAACTCTGCAGGAAAGTGGATATTGAGGGCCAGAGTTGAGACCCCTTGTTCTAAACCTTCCAACTATGATATAACAAGTCGGACAAATTAAGCTACAGTGAACCGATAAGTATAGCAACTGGTTTGGGTGCAAACTTGGTCATTTTTGCTTTTAGGACGCAAAAGGTTTCAGCCATCTCCTAAAGGGATGGACAGGTTCTCAAAGAGAGCTTCTCAAGGGATAGATGGCTGTGGTACAACAGGAGACAGATGGACAGATGACAACCCACCCATGAGCGGCTGCTTTGGGGCAGCTCTGGCTGGGGTCTGCATGTCAGGGGCAAGTGGTGGTACTCATTGTTACCGCCTTCAACCCACCACTCCGAGCTCATTTGTTCTAGCACCACTTCTCCAGGATCAAACAGCAGAGGCTCCTCATCGTTATCGGTTCCATACTCTACGTCAATTTCTGTTGAGGGTCCAGTGGGCGACTTCACATGGTGTATGGTCTTGCTAAGTAAATACTGTCCCAGCCCTGTTCCTGAAGTCATCTGGCTACGGAGCAAGGCCTCTCTCCTGAGTCGGTCGCCATGGCCTTTGTGCGGTGTATGATGTGCAGCCACACTTACAGAACTAGGCCCAGCGTACAGGCTACTGTCAGAGTCCAACTCCACCTCCTCCTCATCCAGATAGTTGATGGTGTCCACCGTGTCAGCGTAGTGCACTCTGGGTCTAGTCCTGACTGGCACAGTCCCTTTGTACCTCACTACGGGTGAATCAGATTCCATTTTATGTCCCTGATTGTGATGGTGGGGGGAATGTTGACGACCCTCATGTCCACTCTGGCGGCCCTTGCCAGAAGTAGACCGGCCTGGGGAAGACCTAGTGTGGGGTTCAGATTCAGTGTTGTCTTCTTCTTCTGTGACTTCTGGGATGCTAAAGAGCTGCTTGTTGTGGTAGGCTTGAGGGGGGAGCTTTATAATCCTCTCCAAAATTTCTTCATCGCTGTCAGGTTCCCACATTTCAGACTAGGGTTGTTTTAGAGGAGCATTGGGATTTACCAGAGTAGAAAACGAGCAAGGTGAAAGATCGAGATCATACAGAGGAGGCAAAGGTTTGATTGGTGTCAAAAGTGGAAAATAGAACAAAACAAGGAAAAGAAACAAGAAAATTAAAATGCATAAGAACAGAAGAACGTAAATGACAAGTATGGCTAAAACTGAGTCCCAACACGTTTTCACTTGTTAGGACAATTACAGCCAATCAGAACCTGCTAGATGTTTAATATATCATTATATTGAGCAGTATATTGAACCTGTGACATTTCACTGTGAGCATGATTACCTGGTGCAATACCAACAAAAAGTATTGACACATTGGACAAAAAGTTGAGTCCTATTGCAAAGGTTCACTGAGGAACATTACAACATTCATGTGCATGTACATACCCTGCCCGTAGGAGCTGTACTGTAACCTCTGGAGACGTCAGTGATAGGTTCAGAGTACAGATCTTCCTCCTCTTCTTCCAGTATGTCAGACAGATCTGACCGACTGCTCTCCCCATGGTAGTCTGGGGGAGGGTCCATAAGACCACCAGCATAGACCTAATAATGTACCACAAAAACAACAACTTAAACACAGTTTTCTGAGACACTAGGACAGGGGTGTCCAATCCTGCTCCTGAAGAATTAAGTTGCAATTGCCCCAGTACATCTGTCTGGAAGTTTCTAGTAATTCCAAACACCTTGATTAGCTGGTTCAAGTGTATGTAACTGGGGTTGGAGCTAAACTTTGTAAAACAGTGGCCCTCCAGGAGCAGGACTGGGCACCCCTGCACTAGGACAACACAATGTTTCAAATAATTAAGGTGTTTCTCTGCTGGATTAAATTATTTTTATGAAGGAATGAAGATTAGCTCTGAAGGCAATGGTAAAATAATAAAATGAGTGCAGTCCAAAATGATAACAACTGCACAAGGACACACATGGTCTCCAGATTTGGTTTGGAAACTGGCCTTTATTCGAGGTTGAGGTACAGGTCGCAGGAACTCCTCTATGGATATGAGCCTGGTGTTCTCCCTGTCCTCCTCGGGCTCTGACTCAAAGGGTGACAGATTGGGAGGCCTCAGTGGGTGTGTATCTGGGATATCGAGAGGGTCCTTTCCTGGGATGTTGACTTTGGGGCAGCTGGAACTGGGTGGTGGTGGTGTGTGAAGTTTGGCACATGGGTCCTCCAAGAAGTCGGAGAGGGAGGCAACAGGACGCAGGCCTCCTGGGCTGTCTGTCTCTCTGCTTGGGTTCTGCACAGCAGGAGCCACACTAGACTGCACTGGCACTGATGCAGGTTCAACAATAGGTGCATGTGTAGGTGCAGGTATGGGCGCAGACATGGGCACAGGCATGGTGGCAGGTGCCGGCACAACTACAGGACCTGGCACTGTCATGGACACTGGTGTGGGCATGGGTCCTGGTGTGGTCAAGGGAGCAGGTACGGCCATGGATGTTGGTGTAGCAACAGGCACAGGCACGACCACGGGTGCAGGTGTAACCATGGGTGTAGATACACTCACCTGTTGATGGAGGTGCTTTATTAGCTTACAAAAATGACTACTCAATCAGATACAATACTTATTCCCAACCAATTTCCAATATTAAACAGAACCCATACATCCCAGGTCTCTGCACATGGACAATGTATCTCAGCCAACTCTAGAAAAAAACTATTCTGTATTAAGAATGAGGATAGGGTAAAGCAGTGAATAAAAGTTATAGCAGAATGTTACTGGTCTTAGGCCAAAATTCAAAGATCTAAATTTTAGTGAAAAGTCCTGGGTGTTTTCTAAACAATAACCTCAAATGGGAAGGTTATATTACATGTTTTATGAAGACATACAATAATTTTGTGTGAGGAACAGACCAAAATTTAACATCCACTGAAGTTATAAAATATCTTTCGCATTTGAGTATTTTTAAATATGGCACAAAGAGATGCCACAGGGTTCCTAGCAGAGGGCCATTTTCAGTGAATAATGGTCTGGCCATTATGCAAAACTACTGTTTGCAATCTAGTCATACAGACCACTGTTATAATACTTTTATGGTGCTCTTCATCACTTATGGATCTTGATAGCATAAATCCCCATTAATTTTCACTATATGAAAAGAGCAGCGCAGACATTCTGCTAAACATCTCCTTTTGCATTACACAGAACAAAGAAACTGGAACAACACATGGGTAAACGATGACAACATTTTCATTTTTGGCTCTTAAAGCATATAGTTTATGCTAATTACTTATTATTTGCACATACAGTAGTGACTAAAACTGTAGGCAAGTAGATTTTTAGTTTAAACTCACCGTTGAGTTAGTACGTGAGGTACATAGCGACAGTGCCTCGTGTGCTGATATTGGTACAGCTGGTGTTGGGTTTGCCCAGGCTTCTACATAGGAAGCAGGAGACGGAGACTCCTCACGAGTGGTTGCATTGGGTGTATTGACATAGACTCCCCGAACAGGACCAGTGGTGTGTTCATCCAGTGTAGCAGCATGTGGCAGAATGGGCAATTTGGCAGGTGAGAGAGATGTGGCATAGACAGCAGGATCTGGGTTGGCACTGGCCGTGAGGGCACTGGCGGTGGCTGGCACAGACTGGCATTGAGGCAATGAGGCACCGGACATGATGGCAGGCAATTTGGCGGGCACATTCACCGGCAATGAGTCCACCGACTCACCAAAAGCTGACATGGTCCGCACGGTGAGCTCACGGGCTGCCTGTAATGTTTGGATCTGAGATGGACCAATCAGAGCGCTGCCTGCTGTGGGTGACGACACCTCTAATACCTGCAGACAGAGGTGAGAGAGTTTTACATGCACACTTATTGTAGAAATTAGGGCTGCATGATTAATCAAAATCGGGTTCAAATTGCTATTAACTCATCTGGTTTAGTAGTAAATACTGCTCCATCTGAAAACACGGCAAGTTTGAGTCGCTTATAACATGCATTTAAAAAAGCAACACGCGTCAAACATCTTTCCAGACATGAGAAGCATTTATGAACCTCTTGTACAACAAAATACCATATTTAATAACGTTTTAACTCCAAACTCACTTCATAACATCAGTCGAGTGTTTGAAATAAAATCCTTCTGTGAGATGATGCGACTTCTTACACAGAATAAGGCACACAACGTATTATTTCATAGTATTCTAAGCAGTGATAAAGGCTATATCAGTTAGCATTGCATTATAAATATACTTTATTATAATGAAAATTATAATACGAAGAACTCAGATCAACCACATATTGTCGTAGTCGTGTTTTTATTAGTCATGTTGAATTAATGAATGCAGTTCAATCGTCTGTTTATTCAGCTACAGCTATAAGGATTTCCTGGAACGAGATGTTTCACCTTTCTTCTGTGGGGCATATTTGGTGTTTCAGTGCAAGAGCGCCACCTGGCCTACGGATGGAGCAGTATTTACTACTGATCACCCTGCTCCACTGACAAGCTGCGCATAAAAAAAAATCGCAGCTTTTGCCTAATCGCGATTGCAGTTTAATTTCTATTAATTGTGCAGCTCTAGAAGAAATTATAATATAAAGTGGACTTTTCAGAAGAATTCTTTGGTTCACCTTCTTCTTGTCAGCGTAGATAGTGTAGCCAGTGACTCGTACACCATTGGACGTTCCAGCAGCATCTATAGTAACGGGCAGCCAGCTGATCTGAGCTATTCCCGGAGATGGACCCTGCTCCAACTGCACATCCAGAGGAGCATCAGGAGGACCTGGAGGACAAGGGTAAAGGTTAAATCAAAGGATGTTGAAGTTAACATTAGATCAAAAAGGACTCTTACTCAGTGCTGGGGAAAGTTACTTTTATAAGTAATGCATTACAATATTGCGTTACTCCCTAAAAAAGTAACTAATTACGTTACTAAGTTATTTTTTATGGAAATAATGCATTTCGTTACTTTTGAGTTTTAATACAAAAAAAGTTAATTATTTTACAAATGTAAACCCTTCTCACAACAAAAGTGAAATGAATACGCCTTAGGCTGAAGGAAATGTAAATTCATGTCTGTACAGTAGAGGGCGCAGCTCAAACAAATTGCATGAAGAATATGACACAGGAGAAGAAAGTTCAACACTATTTAGCAATAACAAAAATGAAACACAAATGTGTCATTTTTGCTTAGTATGGTTGTATGGTAGTATTGTTTTTATTCATTTTGAGGAACACTGAATCTGGTATTGTGCAGGTGAGATGAGTAAAGACTAGAACTACAGTAACATCATGTTCACACACAACACCTCTGCACTTACTCCCGATTTCTCTCAACATGGCAACATGAGAGCTGTCAGTCAAGACATGGGAAACAAAGTAACTGGTGTTACTTACTTGAAAAAGTAACTCAGATATTTCCTTCTAAATTAAAAAGTAATGCATTACTTTACTAGTTACTTACAAAAGTAATCTGATAACGTAACTATACTTGCACAGCATTACCCCCAACACTGCTCTTAATACATGTTCCTAGTCTTGCTGTGAACATCATCAGTGAATCTTTGCATCTAGGGTTGGGCCGATAGACGATGCCCCCCCCATACCCCCCGCAATCCTTTGCATCCCAGTACCGTGTTCGGAAAGAACATTACGTGTACTACGGAACCCCTAAAGGGAATAAATACGAGATAGGAGGAAAATATATATTTAAATATTTTCTCTCGCAGTTATATCATTGGGCAATTATACTATATATAAATTGTGGGCATCGGGGAGCCGCTATTATGCCTGGCATTTAAACTGCTTTTGAATGCACGATCGCTTTTTAGTTTCACTTTCGAGATTTGCGATTGCATGTACTCTGTTAGCGGCAGTACTTACCACACATTTTGCAAATCATTCACCATCGTCCTCAGTCATCTTACTCCGTTTATGTGGTAAGTGAAATTTTATGTAATGTTAGGTGTGCATCAGGGAGCATCATCAGTGGAGCACGAGATTCGGTGATGATGATGTAAGTGACGTTGTTGCATTTTAATGTTTTGTTAGTCTAGCTCACGAGATGCGCCGCTGCTGTGTTATGCATTCAAAACATTAGAGAAATATAGTAGCTCAATGCGGAGAATATCTTAATTAGGTTAAAACCGAAACCAAGCCATTCACACAGAACGCATATTCAGCGCATTTTTTAGACGGACAAATATGACTGCTGCACTCGTGTCTCACACAAGAGATGTAGCCATGC